AAACGGGAGATAAGGCTTACTTGTATTCAAGAAAAAAAGGGCATTAGACAAAACAGAAAGCAAAATGAGAGCCGGACTGGTCTGTCTGAAGCCCTTTGGGGTTTAGAAAGGAGCCAGTCCTTTCAAGAGCTTCATGCTGAGATATCATGGAATTTGATAGGGATGTGGTGGATGACAGCAGGATGGGATTAAATGTAGCAACCAGGATATGCAGTTACTAGCAAGTTACCCACTGTTCTCAGGGATATTCCAAAAGCTTGGGTTTGAAGAAAGCAAGCCTTAATGGAAACCAACGTCTAGTCCACATTAGAGTGTCTGCTCCTTTGATGCCCCATTGGGAGGAGGATGGAGTTCTGCAACTGTTTTTTACTGAAAAGAGTAAAACCAGTTTTGAAACAGTGCCCTAAGTCCCAGCGCCCAAATTTGTTACTGGCAATTGGGCGCCCTCTAGTGTCAGTGAGCGGGGATGCCACCCTTTGAAAGTCGTAAAGTTGGGAAACCCTCTTGGGTTCCAGTTCTAGAAGAAATTGCCAAACAGCAGTATTTACATGGATACCTGGAAGACAGGAAAAGGTTGAAAGAGCACCAATATGACACAAACGAGTCCTTCTCTCGCGCACAGTAGGAACATAGTAGGTATTCGTGGAACATAGTAGGTATTCTGGAACATAGTAGGTATTCGTGAGGTGTTTGTTGAAAGTGAATGGCAATTAAGTCCATGGCAGACAATCTTGCATTAATGCCCCATCCGGATATTGACATGTAACAAATACACCACCTGTCAAACTGATGCAGCAATGAAAACTTTGACTGCTCAGATCTTAGGATACTTGTTTGTTTGTTTGTTTGTTTTTTGAGACAGAGTCTCGCTCAGTCACCCAGGCTGGAGTACAATGGTGCGATCTCGGCTCACTGCAACCTCCGCCTCCTGGGTTCAAGTGAATCCCCCCTGAGTAGCTGGGATTACAAGGGCCTGCCACCATGCCCAGCTAATTTTTGTATTTCTAGTAGAGACGGGTTTCACCATTTGCCCAGGCTGCTCTCCAACTCCTGGTCTCATGTGATCCGCCCACCTCAGCCTTCCAAAGTCCTGGGATTACAGGCATAAACCACTGTGCCCAGCCAGATCTTAGGATACTTTCTGAGTGATATAGTTGAGTAAGAACCATGGCTAGATACCTAGCTGAAATTAAAGAAATTACTCCACTGGATCAACCAGAATATACATGCTGTAACAAAAGTAAATCCTCTTGGCCGGGCATAGTGGTCACATCTGTAATCCCAGCACTTTGGGAGGCCAAGGCAGGCGCATGACCTGAGGTCAGGAGTTCAAGACCCACTTGGCCAACATGGCCAAACCTGATCTCTACTAAAAATACAAAAATTCAAAGATTAGCCGGGCCTGGGTAGCACATGCCTGTAGTCCCAGATACTCAGGAGACTGAGGCGAGATAATGGCTTGAACCCAGAAGGTGGAGGTTGCAGTAAGCAGATTGTGCCACTTCACTCCAGACTGGATGGCACAGTGAGATTCTGTCTCAAAAAAACAAAAAAAAAAGAGTAAGTCCTCTTTGTAAGTCCTCTTTTCCTCACTCAGCTTTGGTGAGTCCATTTGCAAACTTGAGGGGAGTGGAGACTTTCTTCTAAGAAAAGATTACCTATGATCCTGCATACCATTAGAGCAGTAAAACACGTTTAATTTATTTCTCTCTTATGCTGAGTCAGGTGGTGAGGGAACATGTCCACTTCCATAGCCAGAGCTGTTTTTGCGTCAGATCAGTTATTCATTGAGAGCAGAAGAAAAAATTAACCTCACACGCTTACCTCAAATTGTTTGCCATCCAGTTCTTTTGTTGCAAGAAACTTAGATTCAGTAGACCAATCTAAGCATTCCCAAGACATTCCAGTTTTGCCCAGAAGGATTGCAAGGTTTGAGAAGAAAAAAATTAAAAAATAAAAAAAACAGCCTTAGCATGCAGTGATCTACTTTGATCAGAGTGCACGGATTGCTGGGATAGATAACAATGCTTTGGAACATGCCTTCTCCCTGCTGCAAGAACTTGGAAAGACACGCCGTGTGCAACCCCTGTGCAAATGTAAGACAAGCACCAAGCCACTTTCGTTTTATTTTTTTTTCTTTTTGTCGCTTACACCTGCAATAAAACTGCAAACCACGCTACTTTCTTTGCTCACGAAACCTACAACACCTTCTACTTCTTCCTCTGTGAATGCCATGTTGTACCTGTAGCCTATATCTATGTTTTTTGAATGATTAAATACCTGAAGTTGAACATCCAGCAGAATGGCCTCAAAAAACTAGATGTGCCCTGCCTTGTGGAAAAGCCCCAGAGGCCACACTTACCCATGGCTGATATTTCAAATGACTGTTCATTTGTCCCAGAAGTCATAGACAGATTTATGCCTCAGACACTCTGCAAAGAGGTACCCCGAGCACAGACTGAAAATGCAAATCGTTATTCCAATCTTCTTTCTGGGATCAGGAGAATAAAGGGAGAACAGATGCCTTAACTGCATCAAGGGCACATGGTGCTGCTGGAAAAGGGTTGCAATTCTGTCCCCCACACAAAGCCCTTTAGGAGAGGGTGTCCATGTACCCTGAAACTTACTTAACATTTCTAAAAGTGGGGTGAATCCCAAGGGGCCAGGCTGAGCCTGGGTGTGCTTTTGCATGCAGAACAGCCACTAGAGCAGGACCTGGTCTCCCAAGAAAGATGGGGTCTTGCTCTGTTTGCCCAAGCTGGTCTTGAACTCGTGGTGTCAGAGGCGTGTGAACCAGAGCAACTCCATCTTAAATAGGAGCTGGGTAAAATGAGGCTGATGCCTCCTGGGCTGCATTCGCAGTAAGCTAAGGTATTCGAAGTCACTGGATGAGATAGGGGTTCAGCACAAAATACAGGTCATAATACAGGTTGCAGTAAAGGAGTCAGCTAAAATCAAAATGGCGACAAGAGTGACCTCTGGTTGTCCTCACTGCTACACTCCCACCAGTGCTATGACAGTGTACAAATGCCATGGCAACATCAGGAAGTTACCCTATATGGTCTAAAAAGGGGAGGCATGTATAATCCACCCCTTGTTTAGCATATTATCAAGAAATAGTCATAGAGATGGGCAGCAGCCCTCGGGGCTGCTCTGTCTATGCAGTAGCCATTCTTTTATTCCTTTACTTTCTTAAACTTGCTTTCACTTTGCAAAAAAAAAAAAAAATTATAAAAGTGAGGCATTAGGAGTAGAAAGTCAGGCTCCCAGCTGGCTACCATATTTAACTGGTTTCTATTTTAAGTAAGGTCTACAAGGAAAGAGGTGGGAGACAGGGCAGAGTCCCGCATGTGCTCTGCAGGAGCGTTACTCACCAGGTCATTACTCACCAGGGCGCTTCTAAAATCTGGGGGCCCTGCAGGGGGTTTCCTTTGCAGGCTCGCAGCTAATGTAGAAGAATGAGGGCTTCTCTTCTCCAGCCTTCTTTTCAGGGCTCCTAACCTTCCAACACCCAGAGTGCTCTCCCAGTAGGTGATCAAAATAGCTTACCCAGAACACCAGGAGGAAGAGAGGAGGAGGTGCAGGGAGTTGGTAATGGCACTCCAGCGTTCCAGCTGCAGAACTGAAGAGGTCAAATAGGTGGTGGGACATTGGAACATGAGCCGATACATCAAATCCAATACAAAACCTCTTAATTGATCCTCATAACATGATATCATAAAAGGCCCTTTTTTTAATTGTTAGAAAAAGACATTTTTGGCTGGGTGCGGTGGCACACACCTGTAATCCCAGCACTTTGGGAGGCTGAGGGAGGGTAATCACTTTAACTCAGAAGTTTGAGACCATCCTGGATAACACTGTGAAACCGTGTCTGTACAAAAAGCACAAAAATCAGCCAGGTGTCGTGGTCTGCACCTGTAATCCCAGCTACTCAGAGGGATGAGGCGGGAGGATCACTTGAGACCAGGAGATCAAGGCTGCAGCGAGCCGTGATCGCGATGTGCATGCCAGCCTGGGCAACAGAGTAAGACCTCCTCTCAAAAAAAAAAGAAAGAAAAGAAAAAGAAAGAGACATTGTGGATGGAACCTGCTAGACATCCATGGAGCTCAACTTCCTACTTGTAAAAATCCACAGTGTCTGATTTTATTGTAAATACATTTGGCCAGGCGTGGTGGCTCACACGTGTAATTCCATCACTTTGGAAGGCCGAGGTGGACAGATCACCTGACGTCAGGAAATCAAGACCAGGCTGACCAACATGGCAAAACCCTGTCTCTACTAAAAATACAAAAATTAGCTGGGTGTGGTGGCACATGCCTGTAATCCCACCTACTCAGGAGGCTGAGGCAGGAGAATCACTTGAACCCGGGAGGCAGAGGTTGCAGTGAGCCAAGGTCATGCCAAGGTCACACATGACAGAGCGAGATCCTGTCTCAAACACACACACACACACACACACACACACACACACACACACACACACATTTATTTAAAGAAATTAAAAGTATTTTCCACATCCTATTAAATCCCTAAATCTCATTATAAGTTGACTATAAGTTACCATTGGTTGAATTTTGCCATCAAATAGAATTTAGTGCCCTCAAGTTCACAGTGTTGGGTGAAGTATTATACACAAAGTAATTCAGACAATATCTCAGAATCTTAAATTTTATCAATATCCTATATTACATTATAAACTATTTCAAAAAAAAAATTGTATAAGATGAGCCCAACCAATGAGAAAGGATTCATCATCATAATAAAAACCACACTGAATAGTGCTTCCCAAGTGAGGGCACTGTTCTAAATCACTTTATCGGAATGAGCCTGTGTAAGCCTCTCAACAACTCTTTAGACATACTCTCAAGACCCTCATTTTACTGGCAGGAAATAAAAGGATGACTGTAGACGCAAACTTATAGTAACTGCAGCCTCCACTTAAAACTAGGTCAACGAGTTTGCCAATCTCTAAACTCTAGTCCAAAGCACTTTTTTTTCACGTCAGACGGGTAATATGCCAGCATCATAACAAGGTTTGAGGGAGCACGGCTCACACATGCGCGTGAAAACCCAATCATCACGCTGATGAACTATAAAAGGATTCAAATATCTCTTCTTTCAAGTTCAAAACATAAAAATGAATTTTACTCTCAAATCTAAAATTCGCAACACCAGGTTTATCATATCACACGATGCCATTTTCATTAGCTGTCTGAAAAGCAGAGAAGAAACGTTTTTCTCCAACAAATAAAACCACACATACGTTTGAGGCAGCAGGCAACCATTGGTGCCCCTACTATTGGAGAAGTCTCCTTTTCTTTTTTTTTTTTTTTTGAGACAGAGGGTCTCACTCTGTTACCCAGGCTGCAGCCTCATCCTCCCAGGCTCTAGTGATCTGCCCACCTCAGCCTCCCATGTAGCTGGGACTACGGGCACACACCACCACATCTAGCTAATTTTGTTCATTTTTTGTAGAGACAAAGTCTCACTATGCTGCCCAGGCTAGTCTCAAACTTCTGGACTCAAGGGATCCACCCACCTCAGCATCCCAATGTGCTGGGATTACAGATGTGAGCCACCACTCCCAGCTCCTCCTTTTCCCTTATACTGTTTCTTTTTCCTCTCTTGGACTTTCTGCCACCTCTAAGTTCCCCTCTGGGAAGGGTGAAGAATTTCAAACCAGTTTACCACGGTGCACACCCGCAAGGAAAAAAATAAATACCAAAACATCAAATTTCTACTAAAAGTTTTTTAAAGTTTACCTAAGGCTGGGTGCAGTGGCTCAAGCCTGTAATCCCAGCACTTTGGGAGGCCAACATGGGTGAATCACTTGAGGTCAGAAATCTGAGACAGCCTGGCCAACATAGTGAAACCCCATATCTATTAAAAATACAAAAATTAACTGGGCATGGTGGCAGGCACCTATAATCCCAGCTACTAGGGAAGCTGAGGCAGGAGAATCACTTGAACCCAGGAGGCAGAGGTTGCAGTGAGCTGAGATCACACCACTGCACTCCAGCCTGGGTGACAGAGCGAGACTCCAAGTTTACCTAAAGCAGCAAATGATTCTTCTGACACAGTAAAGCCATCAAAGAGATGGGCAGTAATAAAATATGTGTGACTTTAAACCTTTTCCCAACTGCCCCATAATCTGCAATTGAGGTAATACTTCAGAGCAATAGGTGTTTCCATTGTTCATTCTTTTTCACCCCTTTCTCCAGTTGAGCCCCCTTAAGCCAACAATAAATAAGAATGTATACATTACTGAGGCTTATTGGTATAGAAGTTTGATTTTTTTTATGTTATTTTCAATGTGAAAATAATTTCATCTTTTTCCTGGACATAACAACAATGCACATCTATTATGAAGAATTAGAACAATATGGCTGGGTGTGGTGGCTCATGCCTGTAATCCCAGCACTTTGGGAGGCTGAGGTGAGTGGATCACCTGAGGTCAGGAGTTCAAGACCAGCCTGGCCAACATGGCAAAACCCCATCTCTGCTAAAAATATAAAAAAATGAGCTGGATATGGTGGCATGTGCCTGTAGTTCCAGCTACTTGGGAGGCTGAGGCACGAGAATCACTTAAACCCAGGAGGCGGAGGTTGCAGTGAGCCAAAATAGCGCCACTGCACTCCAGCTGGGGCGACAGAGTGAGACTCTGTCTCAATTTAAAAAAAAAAAGAATTGAAACAATACATAAAGATAGAATCATGAAAATGAAAGTCTCCTAAAATCTCACCATCCTAACCAGTAATAATGAGGGTAGACTTCTTGCAGTGTATTTATGTACACATGTATGTATACACACATGCACACACGCCACAGTTTTACATGGATGGGATCATAGCATATCTGCTGTTTTTGCTATAAACAACTCTTCTCTTTTTCTCTCCTCCAACTTCAACAGCAACCTAGAGTGTATGTGTATATATCTTCCTTTGTAACCATACACGCACACCTATATACATTTTCATATACGCTGACACATATAGAGAGGTTTTCTGTTCTTTTTTTACAATGATGGAATCATATCACATTCATTCTGTATCTAACTTTTCTCACTCACCGGTATCTCTTGGAAATCTCTCTCAGACATCTGGTAAGGCTATTACTCATCCCATTGAATGGCCATATAATATTCTATGGAGTAATATATTTTAATTTTTCAGCCATTCCCTGATTAACGGCCATTCACCGTGTTACCGGTTCTTGGCAACTACAAACAAGGCTGCAATAAACATTCTTGCACACATGTCCGTACAAATACTGTAAGCACTTTTATTTTATGGAATAGATTCCTAGGAGTAGGATTCTGGGGTCAAGGGAAATATGTATTTTTAATTTTAATAGATATTGCCAGACTGTCTTCCCAAAAAAAAGGCCAGAATGCTCTACAGCAACACTAGCCATGGATGGGGCACCTGTCACCCCACAGTCCTGCTGGCAACAGGTAACAGGACTCTTCTTAATTTTTTGCCAGCTTAATGGATAAAAAGGAATATTTCATTATGCATTTATTTGCATTTCTCTGAATCTGGGCCACTGCGTACACTGTGCAGATTGTGCATAGGATGATGGAGCAGAAATCTGGCCCACAGATGGTTTGCAAAGACAGGCATCCTGACCGTGTTGAATGCAGAGGAAGGGGCCCCAATCTTTTCTTGTTTATATGAAGGTAATGCCAGTGGCGCCATCCTGACTACCAAGAAATTTGAACACCTTTTTAAATGGCTGTTGGATATAGTTGGACTTCTGTGAATTTTCTCTCCATATCTGTTGCCCATTTTTCTGTTGGGAAGCAATAGAAAATACCTACTTGTATTATTTAATATTAATCTTGTCAATTTATAGGAGCTGAAAATTGCAAGATTAACTATATGGAAATTAACTCTGACTACTATCTGCATTACAGTTACTATCATTTGCCCAGCAACTTTGTTTATGGTATCACTTATAAAATATTTTTAATGTTTTTAGTCAAATACATTTACCTTTTGTAACTTTCGGTATCCAGTCTTGGTTAAAACTATCTCCTTAATCTCTACAAAATACAGGCTAGGCACAGTGGCTCACCCTTGTAATCCCAGCACTTTGGGAGGCTGAGGCAGGTAGATCACCTGAGATCAGGAGTTCGAGACCAGCCTAGCCAACATGGTGAAGCCCCATCTCTACCCAAAATATAAAAATTAGCTGGGCATGGTGGCAGGCACCTGTAGCCCCAGCTACTCGAGACACTGAGGCAGGAGAATCGCTTGAACCCAGGAGCTGGAGGTTGCAGTGAGCCAAGATCGTGCCACTTCATTCCAGCCTGGGGGACAGAGCAAGACTCTGTCTCAAATATTGTCTTCCTTTCTTTCTTTCTTTGTTTATTGATTTTTTTGACATGGACTGAGATGAGATCCTGTCATTGCACTCCAGCCTGGGTGACAAGAGCGAAACTCCATTATAATATTCTCCTTTGCTGGAGAGGATGTGGAGAAATAGGAATGTTTTCACACTGTTGGTGGGAATGTAACTTAGTTCAACCATTGTGGAAGACAGTGTGGTGATTCCTCAAGGATCTAGAACCAGAAATACCATGTAACCCAGAAATTACAATAATCAAAGGATTATAATGATTTATATTATTTTACTATTTTAATTATTAAATTAATATTATTTTATTACTTAAATTATATTATTTATGTTATTATAATATAACATATTGGGTATACCCAATTATATTTATATTATAAAACCCAAAGGATTATACTATACAATCTACAATATAATCCTTTGGGTTATAATGTAGATTATATGCATTATTATGATACCCAAAGGATTATAAATCATTCTACTATAAAGACACATGCAAACGTATGTTTATTGCAGCATTGTTCACAATAGCAAAGACTTGGAACCAACCCAAATGCCCATCAATGAGAGACTGGATAAAGAAAATGTGGCACATATACACCATGGAATACTATGCAGCCATAAAAAAGATGAGTTCATATCCTTTGCAGGGACTTGGATGAAGCTAGAAACCATCATTCTCAGTGCACTAACACAGGAACAGAAAACAAAACACCATATGTTCTCACTCATAAGTGGGAGTTGAACAATGAGAACACATGGACACAGGGAGGGGAACATCACACACCGGGACCTGTTGGAAGTTGGGGGATAGGAGAGGGATAGCATTAGGAGAAATACCTAATGCTATACAGGCTGATGGGTTCAGCAAACCACCATGGCATGTGTATACCTATGTAACAAACCTGCATGTTCTGCACATGTACCCCAGAACTTAAAGTAAAATAAATAAATTAATTAATTAAATGCATCTTTGGCTTATTAAAATATAATGTAATCAGTACATCTACCTTCCTCCCAGAGAAATACAAACAATTTTTAGAATACTTAACTTTAGGCCAGGCACGGTGGCTCACGGCTGTAATCCCAGCACTTTGGGAGGCCAAGGCGGGTGGATCACATGAGGTCAGGAGTTCGAGACCAGTCTGGCCAACATGGCAAAATCCCATCTCTACTAAAAATACAAAAATTAGCCAGGCGTGGTGGCAACCACCTATAATCCCAGCTACTCCAGAGGCTGAGGCAGTAGAATTGCTTGAACCCAGGAGGTGGAGGTTGCAGTAAGCAGAGATCACATCACTGCACTCCGGCCTGGGAAACAGAGCGAAACTCTACCTCAAAAAAAAAAAAAAAAGAAAAAAAAAGAATATTTACCTTTATGTATCTCCTACCCAACGTATTTTCTGTCATGTATTTTAAAACACTACAGTTGACGTTCTTGTATATTACCCATTCATTTCCCCTTTTCTTTGTTCTCCATTTGTTTATTTGTTCCCTCATTTCTCTCCAACCTTCCATCTGAGATTATTTTCATTCTGCCTGAAAAAAAAAAAAAAAAAGTGCCTTAGAATTTCCTTTAGTGGGTTTGCTGGTAACGAACACTCAGTTTTTCTTTGTCCATTTTGTTTTGTAAAATACCTTTGTCTTCTTTTTGTCTAGATAATTTCATAAATTTGAAATAATTTTAAACATTAATTTTCAAGACTAGAACAAAGAACCCCTTGCTTTCCTGAACCATTTGGAA